TCTGTGCTTCATTCTAAATAGACTTCTGGGGTGCATAGGTGACTCGGTTGAGTGTCTGACTCTTGGTTTTGGTTGGGGTTGTGGTCTTATGGGTCATGGGATCGAGCCCCAAATTGGGCTCCACGCTCAGTGATGGGGGGGTGTCTGTTCCAGGATTCTCTCCTGCTGCCCCTACCCAACTCTTTCTTTATCCTACAAATATTTTTTAAAAATAGCCTTCCAACATATGTTCTGGTTATTTTCTCTTTAACTGTATGTAATATACTACTAAACCTCTGCATTGAGTTCTTAATTCTAGAATAGAGTTTCTGCTAGATTATTTTTTCAAACTTTTAATTTTTTAGTGTAGGCATGCTTTGACTTCAGTCTTCTTCTGATTTTTAACTATGTGCTGGTCATTTTATTTGGAAAATTATCTGTGTAGGGTTGTCTGAGATTTGGGGTCATGATATCTTCACCTGGAGGGGACTTAATTGTTTCTATCTAGTGCCTGTAGTGTGCTTCTCTAGGACCTGTTTATTCAATATAGAAAGCTTAATAAACAATTACTATTAAACCTGATTGCAATCTGTGGAAGTACTGATTTACTTCTGGTTTATATTTACCCTAAGGAGTCTCGTATTAAATATAGGGGGTGTTTATTAGATTTTCCATCTTCTGTGATACTAGGTTTAGATTTCTCTCTTGCTCAGCAATCCTCCAAAAGTCATAGCTCATTTTATAGACGTTGCTTTTAGATTGTCAAATACCTTCAGGACAAATGTTTGGTTTGACCGCCTGAATACTTCTAAGATTTTGGCTAGATAATTCCTTATATTAGGCATTTGGTTCTGTTTTCCTAATCCCAGATTTTTTTGGTTGTATCAGGTGGTGAGTTGGATCAAATTACAAGTTGCTTAATATGTATGCTGTGTGAAACCATCCTTGCATTACTAGGGTAAGAGGTATTTATAAGTTAGATGAGAAAACTAATTTTTGTCTAGTTTTGCCATCAAAGTTATTATAGCATTTAAAAATAAGTAGAGGGGCACCTGGGTGGCTCAGTGGGTTAAAGCCTCTGCCTTCGGCTCAGGTCATGGTCCTAGTGTCCTGGGATCGAGCCCCACATCGGGCTCTGTGCTCTGCAGGGAGCCTGCTTCCACCTCTCTCTCTATCTGTCTGCTTCTCTGCCTACTTGTGATCTCTGTCTGTCAAATAAATAAATAAAATCTTAAAAAAAAATAAGCAGAGAATGTTCCTTCATTTTTTAGTTCTCACTGTAGTATTTGAAATCAGATCATTGGTTGCTTCTTGTGGGGGCCTTGACTGGGATGGGGCAAGAAGGAACTTGGAACTTTCTGGGGTAATGGCCATGTTCTGTATCTTGATAAGTATTTTTCAAAAATAACTGAAGAATTTACTTAAGATATGAGGATTTAATTGTATGTAAATTAGATCAATAAAAATTGTTCAAATATCAATAATTACTGAATCTAGTTAGAATATACACAGATGTTCATCGTATTATGCTTTTTTCTTGGTGTTTAAAAATTTCAGAATAAAAAGTTGGGTATATAAAATTAAAAGATAAATTCATTGTTCAATTTCCTTGATATTAGTTTCAGTAAAGGTTAAGGCCAAACACTATCAGAAAAGTGTAAAGGACTGAAGAAATGTGATTAAAATAGATGTATGACAGGCAAAGGAAGAAAGATGGCTTGGCACTATAGGAGGTTTGAAAATGATTATATGGAGAGAGGAAGAAATCAGTGGGAAGGAGAGATGTTGGGATGCCTGTGTGGCTCAGTTGGTTAGGCGGCTGCCTTTGGCTCAGGTCATGATCCCAGGGTCCTGGGATTGAATCTCGAGTCAGGCTCCTTGTTTGTCTGGGAGCCCGCTTCTCTCTCTCCCTCTGCCTGCTGCTCTCCCTGCTTGTGCTCTCTCTCTCTTTGTCAAATAAATAAATAAAATCTTAAAAAAAAAAAAAAGAGAGATGTTGAGATCAGAGAGAATTGCTGGTTCAGAGGTAGGAAGGAAAAGATAAGACAGGTGCTTAGAACTGAATTCAAAATTTCATGCATGGTCCCACTAGGTTGAGTCCTTTCTAAAGATATTAGGGTATATCACATGGGTATATTTTGAGTGCCTCTTAATTATACTTTTTTTTGATATTTATCAGCTGTTTAGGTATAAAAGATTTATCATCTATCACTTTAAATGTTCATAAAGTTATATACTTTATCTCATTTAATCCTTCAACATTCTGAGTTCAGGAATAATCATTTGTTTTATGTATTAGAAAATTGACTTTGCTAAAGTTACATAGCTAATAAATGGAAAAGTCACTCCCAAGACTTTTGACTTTTGACTTTTGTAGTGTAATCTTGGGACAGTTTCATTAAATACTGATTTTTTTTTAAAGATTTTATTTATTTATTTGGCAGACAGAGATCACAAGTAGGCAGAGAGGCATGCAGAGAGAGAGAGAGGAGAAAGCAGGCTCCCTGCGGAGCAGAGAGCCCGATGTGGGACTTGATCCCAGGACCCTGAGTTCATGACCTGAGCCAAATGCAGAGGCTTAACCCACTGAGCCACCCAGGCGCCCCTAAATACTGATGTTTTTTAATTGGAGCTAGGCTAAGGGGGTAGAGCAGTCAGGTAATTGCCTAGAATCTCAATCTATAAAAAGTGTTAACACATTTTATCATAGATAATGTCATGAGGAGGATGCCTGGCTGACACAGTCTGTGGAGTGTGTGACTCTTGATCTTGGTGTTGTAAATTCAATCCCCACTTTGGGTATAGAGAATATTCAAAAATAAAACCTTAAAAAGAAAAAAAATGTATTGAGAAAATGGTATTTAATGGAATTCTTCTGGGTGAATAGTTCTCTGTGTGTGTGGCTAGAAGCGGTACTTTGGTATGTGGTTTAAAGTGGTGGTGAGATTATTACACCTCCCTCCTCCCCAACTCTGCTCCAAGAACATTTCATGCCACATTATAAGAAAGTTAGATTCAAGTAAGTGCAGAGATTTCTATCTCATGAGTAGGATATACAAATTTAGACCAGAGCTGGACTGTTCGTGACAGTAAAGAGACAAGCATCCCCTTCACTCTTTACTACTCAGGCTTTCCACTAAACAAACATTGAATGAATGTTAGAGTAGTTTAGAAAAGATGCCAAATTAGTAATCTGGTGCAGGCAGACAAGGAAGCATTCTATTTCAGGTGCTACTAATAGAAAACCTACGAAAAACTATCTGAAACAGTAATGGAAAGGCATTGGCTTAAGAAAACTGACAAGTAAAGAGGTGGAGGGGTGTCAAAGTTAATTCTGGAATTTTTTGGGGAGATTCTTACCCATGAGATGGGTTGGTTCTCAGGCTGGCCCCTCATTGTAGCAAAATGGTTATAACACTCCATAAGCTAAACGGTCTCCTCATCTCTCACCTCTAATCACTGAATAAATGGGCCCATACTTGATCTAATTGGCAAAGCCTGGAAACGCCCTGTAGCTGTAGTTGCATTTACAGGTTCAGCTCTGATGTAATCACTGTGGCAAGGACATGGGACATGTTATGATTGGGTTATGATCTGAGGCAGCAGTTAGAACTTCGCAGTCAAACCTACCCAACCCTACAACGAATACTACAGACAAATCTCAGTGAGGCCACGCCTCTCTTAGTTTGCGTTCATCTTGGTCCGTCTTACGTCTTGTAAGCTTCTTGGTGCAAGGGTTGTATTATATTCCATTCAAAGCTCCCAGTTTACAGTGGCCTTCATTTAATTACTGTTGAACAATGTTAAACTCCACTGACGTGTAAATCAAGGCCAACGGAGAATTAGCTAAGATTAAGCCAAGCTAAGACCACAAAGTTAATGGTAGAGAGAGAGCCAGCATTGGAAACTAGATACTGTTCATTCATTCTTTTATTCATGAAACAAATAGGACTGGGAAAAGGCAGTAGATAGAAAACAAATTAAACAGGACCTTGCAAATCGTATTGTTTTAAAGTTCTTTCGAGGGTGGGTTTCATCCCCCTCTTCAAGGAAATCTGAACCCTGGCCTTGGTCCAGTGAATTTTCTGAGCAGCTTGACTCAGCATCTTCTCCCAACCTTTATCAGCGCGTCAGCGGTGCCATCCAGCATCCTTCCATCTCTTCTGCCCTTGGCATTTCATCTTTCCCAGCTATCTGATTTCCCTGACCCTTCGACTTTTTAAAAAACCAGGGTTCTCCTGAGCACTCTGTTTTCGCTCTCTTATTTCACGGCTCCCCAGTTCCACCGCCCAACTCTCTCAACTCCGCACTCCATGACATTCAGTCGCCCTTCAAAGTCAGAAGGAATCAGCCGGGTTAGTACGTGGACGATATTCCCAAACCAAAGAGGTCTCGTCCATCCTGCTCCATTAGATCGGAACAATAGCTTACCCACACCCACATTTAGATTGTTCCGCCACTACTCTGGGGATGGTTTTATGTGCGGCTGCTTTCCTCCGGCTACAGCCACCGTGTGGAAGAGCACCGTTAGAATTTTCCCGAAATGTTGCTGTCGGGAGTCCCGGCCACCTCTTCGTCGTCTTCGCCGCTCCCCCGGGCCAGGCCCTCCTCCAGGCCGGCGGGTAACGCCGCAGTCGCGCCGGCGCTTCCAGGGGAGGCAGGCGCCGCGCCGGACGGAGGGCACCGCCACAGGCCCAACGCCTAAAGGCGTGCGGGAGGCCGGCAGGCCGCGGAAGAGGGCGGGAGCTGACGCGCGGCAAACGCCGCGCGCCGCTAGCCCAGGAGGAAGACGTGGGCGGAAAGTGGTGGGCCGGGTGGGCCGGGTGGGCGCCGGAGGGCGGGGCCCGCGCGCGCCGGGGGCGGAGCTCCCGCGCCGGTCACGTGACAGGTCCGGCGGCGGCAGCGGCGGCGGCCGCGGCGTCTTCAGCGCGCCCAGTGCAGGATGGTGCTGGAGGCGGCGGCGGCGGCCGTGGTGGCGGCGGCGTTGTTGGCGGCAGCGGGAGGGGGTGCTGTGGCGGCATCGGCGGCGGCGCCCGCGGGTGGTGTAAAATGGCGGATTTCGAGGAGTTGAGGGTAAGCGGGGGCGCGGGAGTGGGGAGTGGAGGCCGCGGGGGAGGGGAGGGGAGGCGGGGAAGCCGCAGCGTCGCCGGCCGCCACCTTCTTGTTTCGCGGGGACCGGTTGTCGGAGCCGGGAGCCCCGGCCCGAGTGCGAGCGGGCGCCCGCCCGGGCCGGCGCGGGCGGGGGAGGGGAGCCAGGCGGCGGAGGACGCCTGGGCCGCGCGGGGTCGGCGGGCCCGGGGCCCGGGCGAGCGACTGGTGGGTCCCGCGGGGGGTCCGCACACCTGGCGTGGGGAGGGGGCCGCCGTCGGGAGGGGCTCGTGGGGACCCGACTTCCTCGTGTAAGGGCTGAGGTGGGAAGCGAGATTTGCTTTTCCACCTTCATGGGGGGTGTGTGTGTGTGTGTTTGTGTGTGTGTGTGGCGATTCAGAAGTCTACACGTTACTCACTTGGTGGGAGCTTGTTTTCTGAAACGTGAAGTTGCGTTTAGGAATCATCTCTCTTATGGCTGATGCTACCGTTTAGTGAGATCTGTCACAAGAAAGGCCCCTTTTTCCTACCAGTGCTTCCTCTTGAAGAGAAGCGTGGTCTTTTGGGAGCGCTGCCTTTAATAATAGACCTTAAACCTTGATATTTTCTTAGTGCTGTGGTAAGACACCCGCAAAGGCCGTGTTGTCATGAGGTTTGTTTGTGAACTCGTTTTGCTCGAGGGAAAGCATTTTTCTTTCTAGTCTGAGAACAAGGTCACAACTTTATTGTTGATATCTTTGTATAGTAGAGGCTTGACAATGGGTGTGCTGGAGGTAGAATGGAAAAGATGTTTTTCCCTGAGCTGATAACCTTCAGAGTCCTCAATTGAAACTAAACGGTGGTCAACGAATAGGCTTTATTTTTTCCGGATCGCTGAATTACGGGCGACAGAAATGGAATATTTAAGGACGGAAACCCTGATTTAAAAGAAAAGTCAAAGTAGAGATGAATGTGAACTTGAAATTAACGGCAGTCCTTTTGCATAACAGACGTATGGTGTTAGGGTTACTTTTTTGAAATAAGAAGGAAGAAGAATCTGGTAAAATATTCAGTTTTGTATATTTATTGTTTTTTTTCCACGAGGGATGGAGTGGGGAAGGATGTTGACTGTTCACCTGGCTGGTACGGTGGACCTCAGCAAAAGGACGCATTGGTGATTCTCATCTAAAGGGAGAATGTGTTATAATTTGCGTAATACCTGCCATTTTCCCTTCTGTTGTTTCAAAAAGAATGGTACATTAATGCATTTTATGCTCTATATTAGTTTATACAGAGAACCATGATAGTAGGTAAAAAGGGTAATCGTATTGGTAAGTGTAGGAGTTTTAATGTCTCAGAGCATAGAGCTTTTTTAACACCTGTGGAGCTTTGAAACAAGCAGGCCTGAGCCTCAGCTGTATAAATGAATGCATTAGGTTCAGGGATTGGTTGAGGAGACTGAATGTTGAAGTTAAATTAAAAAAAAAAAAAAAAAAATTTTTTTTTTTTTTTTACCTGCAGTATCCTCTTCATTTTGCGTAGTAACATCTCTATATAGTTTATTCTCTTCTAAGGTTTTTTGTTGATGAAAATTTTTCCAAGACTTGCATTAGACTTTTATAAATGTTGTTGGTCAAAGCTTAATAAAAAGGGAGGATTTAAGGGGGCGCCCGTTTGCTTAGTTGTTGGGTGTCTGCCTTCGGCTCAGGTCATGATCCCAGGGTCCTGGGATCCAGCCTGGCACCATCTGGGCTTCCTGCTCTGCAGGAAGCCTGCTTCTCCATCTCCCACTCCCCCTGCTTATTTTCCCTCTCATGTTGTGTCTCTCTCTGTCAAATAAATAAATAAAATCTTAAAAAAAAAGGGAAAAAAAAGGAGGATTTATTTACCAGTCTAGGGCAGAGAAGGCAGTCAGTGCTGAAGTTTGGTGGAACCAGGAACTGCAAAGTGGTTGGAAACCAAAGATGCATTTTTCTCTTTGGTTGTACCTGTCCCTTCCCCCTTTTCCATTCTCCCCTTTTATCTCCCCCCACCTCCCTTCCGCCTCCCCTTCCCTCTTTCCCCTCCCCACCTCGCCCCCTACAGTTTGTTTTGTGGGTCACTTCATCTCTTTCTGTAAATCAGCTGTCTTTGCTTCTCCCTGCACTTGATGGAAGATGGCCCCTCCCTCATAGTTCACATAAGGTGCCCAACAGAGAGTGACTGGGAAGAGTTTTAAGAGGAGGGAAAGGGTGTGCAGATGGATGCTGGAAAAGAGTTATCTACCCCAGTCTTCGCCTTAGCTGCTCAGCAGCATCTTCTACATTTAAAGATGAACAGTCTCCATGCACTGCCCTCATTTCAAACAGTGACGATGATGATGATGATAGATATCTGTTATAAGTGGTTATTACATGCCTGGCTCTGGTCTAAGCACTTCACATACCTGTTTGATTCTCACAACAATGGTGATAGAATTGTTAGAAGAATTGTCAGAAGAAATTGAGACCGCTTGAGTAACCTGACGCAGTTTGAGCTGGAAGACCTGGGATGTTTAACCTCAGATGTCCAGCTTTAGAGTCCCTGCTTTTCGGAGTCCGAGCTGTCCTGCTCTGTAGTTTCCTTCAGGTTCATGTGGTGCTGCTAGCCATCAGCCTGGGATCTATGAACTAAACGAAGATAAATAGCTGGTGCCCTTCTTATGTGATATATAATACTGGAGGGGAAACAGGACAGCTGACTGAAAATCTAATTAGAAAGGAGGGAAAGAGGAAGAAACATGCAGGACATTCTAAATGGTCTCTGCCTCAGAATATATTCTGTGAGGGTCAGAGAGATTGTCAAGTAAATTGAAGGATGAGGAAAAATGGCCAGCATTAGTTTGTTGACTAACTTGGCAGTAGAGGAAATAGCCGACCTGGATGTCACATATTTGGCTGCCCATGCCGCTGCTGAGAGGATTTCCAGTATCTTTATCCATTATCATTTGGGGCTACTCCCTAGGGGCTTGTATAACCAGAGCAGGTCACTTCTGGCTGGTGATGCCATCTCCTGTACTGGAGGTCAGGAATTCTGGGAAAGGTCATCCCCACTGTGCTTCGGTGACTCCTTTGCCTTTGCTTTGTAAGCTTAGGGTGGGGGTGGGGGTTATTTGATGAGGCAACTCCTGTGGAACCTTAAGAGGTCGCCAGATGATTTTAGTTTTTGAGACTGCTATGTAAGCCAATATTAGAGGTCTTGTTCGGTCATAGCAGAATATGGCAACCCTGTACTTTGCTGCTTTCATTTAAATAGAATACCAGCACACCTTTCTTCTAGTTCTTCTGAGAGAGAGGATCTGACTGGCTGAGCTTAGCTGAGGGTCCTCTTCTATTCTAATCATCTGTGGCCAGAAGCTTCGAGTCCTAGCACAAAAACCTGACTCATGAGATTATCTTGATGGGTTGGGGAAAGGAAGGAGCAAGTTCTCTGAAGTGGAAATTGTGGGCTGAGTAGTCAAGGACGATTATGATAACACATCATGTATTCAAAGCTTTCAAGATGCTAGAGAAGAAATTATTCAATTCAGTGGTTGGTTGTATATAGCTTTTATGTTGGTAGAAGTTTCTGAATTAACTAATTTGTAAATTAACTAGTTGTGAATTAACTTGGGACAAGCTCATAAGGTCTGATGACAGGGACCTCTGTCACTGCCACCCTCCTTTCTCCCTACGAAATAGTCTCTGTCAGAGCTAAGCACGGGGATGGAGCAGAGGCAGAATAGTCAGGGTTCTGAAGTTCAGAAAAGCCACCAGAGTGGCTTTTTTTTTTTTTTTTTTAATGATGTTTTATTTTAGAGAGTGAGGTTGCATTCGAGTGCCGGGGTGGGGGTTGACCGGGTGGAAGGGCAGAGGGAGAGAGAATCTCAAGCAGACTCCCCGATGAGTGCACAGCTCCACATGGGGCTCAGTCTCATGACCCTGAGATCATAACCTGAGCCAAAATCAAGAGTGGGACATTTAATTGACTGAGCTATCCAGGCATCCCCCAGAGTGGCTTTTTTACCCTTGTCTTTCTCCTCCAGTTGCATAATTGTATACTGTGGGCTGTTGGTGCAGTCTTTTGGCAGTTCTTAAAAAGGTTCCTGCTATTATTTAACCTGGTTAATCTACTCTCCTTACTTCTCACCACTGAATTATGGAGATGGAGGAGGGATTTATTGTGGTAACATTTTTTTTTCTTTAAAGATTCTCTCTCCTCTCCTGCATTCCTCATCCCCTTCCTTTTGTGCATTGCATTTATTATCTCCATGTGTGTCAGAGAACAAGAGTGAATGTGTGTGCAGTCTTAGTGTGTGGGCTAGTGAAAGAGAGTGAGTGATCGTTAACTTTCTTAATAGATACTGGCAAACCAAATGCAGAAGAGCTTTTATGCTGAGTCTTAAGTAATTCTATAACAGAAGATTTTCTGCGTAGAAGGCTTGGATGTTTGGTTCTTTACACATAGCAGGACTTGCCATTCTGGTAGCTTTGGGTGCTGTTAGGATATAGAGGGAGAATAGGAAGTTAATGGGGGTGTGTGTGAGGTTAGAGTTCTTCATCCCTCATGCTCCTCAACTGTTGGACGAGGAAATAGGCTAATAGGTAAGATAGATGCAACTGTATCTACCATATGATTCAAAGTCTTGAGTGGACATAACCGAAATTTCAGGACACAACTTCACTTGAGATCCTGTTTGTGAAAGCACGTTCCAAACTCAGTATTTAACTTAAATGGATAATTTTAAATAGTAAACCAAGGTATTCTTAGCTGTGGTAGATGCCTTTGCATTTGTTTGCACCTTAGGTCTGTGGCCTCCCTCCATGAATGTCTTTTCCAAGACATTTCTAAGACTGTTCTAAATATAACATTCTTCAGATGTTTCTCTTTTTTTTAGCATTTTGCCTTTATTTTTCTGGATTGGATCTTAGTTACTTTATTTTTAAAATTTTTTTATTGAGATGTAATTTACATACCATAAAATTCAGCCTTTTAAAATGGCTTTGGTC